ATGTAAATAGTGGGCTATAATGATTAAGTATTGATGAATGACATTGGACATGGAAAGATAATTGTCCAATTATTGAATTGATGTTATACTAATTAATTAGATAAGTAAGGATGGATCTAGTCCTATTATTGTATGGATATTAAGAAAAGAATCAATTACAGAAACGTGAAGAGTATGAATTAGTGTGATTTAAATGAGTGATTTAAATGAGGATAATTATTATTTGGAGTTTGATAAATTTGGGTCATTGTTATTAAAATTGATAAAAAATAGGAGTGATGATGTATTAGGGGATTAAGAGAAAGACTTCTATATTTTGAGATTTCATGAGTGTAGAAAAAAAAAAAAAATTGTGGTTTACAAGTCATGAAAGAGTTATGGATCCATGTGTAATATAATTAAGATCCTAGTACATGTAGTATGTTTAATAAGCCAGACTAAACTTATGGACTCAGTATAATAAAATAAAAGTAAAAGATAGCAAAGGAAATTAGTGGTTTTGGGATTGAAATGCTATTACATTCGATGATAATTATATTAGGAAAATTATAGCTTGAATATAATTTGAACATAATTTGAATATAAAGAATAGAGGAGAATAATGTTTGTATAATTAAACAGTTTCTTGTTATCTCTTGGAGCATAGAGAGAAGGTGAATGTTAAGAAAATTAAATGATCATGAATAGTAATTTTATGATGTAATTAAATAATTAAATTTAAAAAAAAAAAAAAATTTTTTGAAAGTTAAAAAGATGCTTAGAAATAAGTAGTTAAGAATATGTACTAGACAAAAGAAGTGAAATATTTCATTAAGTAGAATGATGTTGAACAGGTATATTATTGAATGTAGAAAATGGCTTTGAGGTTTAAAATTAATTATCAACTGTTCGTGATAATTCTACTAGATATATTAAGCAAATAATTGATAATGTTATGACCAACTTTTGAAGTTGAGTAATCGGGTCTTGCGGGTGAGTTTCGAGAATTTAGCTGGTTCATCAAATAGTAAATTAGAATCTAAAAAGAGATCAAATTAGGGAAGCTGATTAATGTCCTGGTGATAAACAAATAGATAAATATCAAGGATTGTACATCCCGATGAGAAAAAGAAACCTAAGTACTTCATTATCAGGAAGAAAGATAACTTTCTACTTGAGAGTTAAGAAATTTTTTGAACTGTCATCTTAGAACGCGTTCTAGTTAGGATATAGTTTTATGAGTTATATGAATCTATATTAATTGAATCCACATATTGAGCTTATAAATGTATTATGTGATAAGTGTTATTAATGGTAATGACCGAGAATAAGAGTTGATAAAAGATCATGGGCCTTAGCTTGAGATGACAATGAATGTGAATACATGTAACTAGTTGGTGGAAAGTATATAAACATAAGGACTTTCTATTACTCTATGCATTTTTTGTAAGTTACTTAGTTTATTGGATGAAGAAAGGGAGATATAATTATGCCTCTAGGGAGCAGAAGGGTATCTAGAGTATTTTATATATCAATGAACTAACTGGGTTTTAATTTACTGTTCATTTGGAATATTGAGATCTGTGTAAGAATAAACAAGTGAATTTGGGATAATTTTAGGGAAAAACATGAATTATAAGATTATCGGATGTGTTAACAAGATGGTCTAAAATTACATCTTAACTATACTTGAAGACCAACTTAAGTGTGTTAATGAGATGGTTAAGATTACATTTTAATTATATTGGAACGCCAACTCATGTGTGTCAATTAGATAAATTATTAGTTTAAATTACCCATGGAATGATTGAGGTACTAATTAAGGTGAGAATTATTGAAATATAATTTAATCAGAGTCAATGTAACCTATTCCAGAATTTCGTAGTAATTGGTAGCAATTTCATGATTGAATGAATATAAATTGTGTTATAAATGGCAGCTTGCGACCATATCTTGTCGGTTTAAGGGAATACTATACACTTAATTAGGTTCCATTTGAGGGATTGGCTACATTGTAACTCCGATGTTGAGGATTCACATGAGTATTCAGCCTTATTTGGAGTAAAGAATATAAGAGATAAATAATTGAGTTGAGGATATTCCTCGAATCGTGTTAGGTTCATAAATTTTACAGATGATAGACATTAAGATAGACTTGGAAGAAAAGGAATAAACCAATTGAATATTTATTATCTGAATATCAATAGGCATTTCATGGGATTAAGACAAAGGACATCGGTCTAAACAGGAGTTGAATTATGCGGTTAACATTCTTAATCTCTTACTTAGTAAGAGCAAAAAAGGCACTTACTTGTTAGGATCGTGATTCTAGATACGTAAACTTATACGTAAACTTAGGTTTAAAAGATTGATTAAAGACAGAAGAAATAAGTAAATTGGATATAAACGACAGTTTGGAGAATTTTACATTTTGATTTAGCTTGTAAAATATATATATATATATATATATCTAGGCTGGATTTCTTCATGGAATCGAGTATAATAGAATGGCATTTGCAAATTTTAGAAAATACATTAAAAATTATTTGGCATGGCAATAGCTAACAGGGCTAGTTGCATAATTTCTAGTCATAATTAGTTAAGAAATGGTATGGTATGACAAATTGGAAAGAGGAATAGAGAAGTTAATAACTAAAATATGGGATGGTGAATTTTAAATTTTCTCTACATTTAATTGATGCACTCACTTGTTATTATTTTGGATTCTCAATTAGTAGGATTTGAAAAACGAGCTTGTTTGTATCTATCTTTGTAGTTGCGAAAATGAAAAGTGGTTGAGTTTGATAAATGGATGATGAACTTTGGGATAGAGATTCAGGATCTCCTATCAGTTGATAACAACTACGCGTAGAGAAATGCATGATTTTTGTTGGAAATAAGCTTGTAGTAGTTTTGCCATAAATTGTTCTCTTATTGGAAAGGATCCAAATAGTACTTAATGGAGCCATTGATAATAAATCGAAAAATCTCCTTGAATTGGCAGCCAAACCATCTTATCTAATTATAAACTATTATAAGATATTAAATTATAGTATTTTTCTATGTATAGAAATTCTAAAAGTTTCCTAATTAGAATACGAGTAAATTTGAATATGTGGATTCTTGTATCAGAAGACTTAATACTTGGTTTGTGTATGAGCGTCTTATTGAGTGATAATCATTGCCTATAATAGCTAGTGAAAGGTAAATGAGGCGATACATCAATGTAGATCACATGATATATAGCCAATGAGATTAATAACTCTTACTTGAGCAGATGTTATAAGGGACTTAAATTCTTACGTGTAAAGGTGAATATTAGTGTCGAATCTGTGCTTGGGGTTATGAATATTTGACTTGAGTTGTGTGTTTGGGGTTATGAATATTTTACTTGATTTGATGACTTGTAGATATAGTACAACTCAAGTTTAAATTAACTATAGTGATAAGGTAGATAACTTTGGGGATGGATTCATCTTATAATCATCCTACCCTCCCTATATATTAGATTTTCTTCCCAGGTCTGCTCATTGGTTTATCTTACTTAATAAATTTAATAAAGAAATTAGTCTCGCCGCTCTGACTAACGAACTCAAAAATATTTACCTCATCGTCTTGATTCACCCTTCTAGCTGCTTAGAAGGACAATTATTCTCCTGAATGTGAATGTCATTACTGTGAGAAACCGGATCAAAAACCGATTGAAAAAGCTGAAAACCAGTTAAAAATTGATGATTTGGGCCAAATCGAATCGAACCAAACCGGTTCGACCCAAACCATCTAGAAAATTCCTTTTTTTTTATATCCAGCGCTGCACCTTCATTTCTCACCCACCATTTCTGCGCCACCTCCAGCCACCTCTAGCCCACCACCGCACCACCACCACCTCCTCCTTTCTTCCTTTTCTTCTTTCTTTCTTTCTTTTCTTTTCTTTTCTTTTCTTTTTTTCTTCCCTGCGTCTATCTCTGTGTGACTGGCGAGAGACAGCAGATCCACTGCACGCCACCCAGCCCTCGCCGCCTCTCTCCACACTGCCAGTCGACCTCCGGCCACCAGCCCCATTTCCGGTTAATCGAATTCCGGCAACAATATATGATGTATAATTTAGTTTTAGTGAATGAAATTAATTGTTTGTAGGTAATTTATTTAGTTAAGTTAGTGTTCTTGAATTTATTTAGTTAATTGATTTAGTTTAGTTAGTTTTAGTGAATGAAATTAGTTAATTGTAGTTAATTTATTTAGTTAAGTTAGTGTTAGTAATATTAGTTAATTAAATTAATTTTAGTATTTGTAGTTAATTAATTTAGTAGTAGTAGTTAATGAAATTAATTTTATTATTTGTAGTCAATTAGTTTAGTTAAGTTAGTGTTAGTAATATTAGTTAATTAAATTAATTTTATTTGTAGTTAATTAATTTGGTTAATTTAATTTGGTCATTGTGAATAGTTAATAGCTTTATAATATTAGTGTTGATATAATTAAGGTAGTTTTAAAATAATGTTATTGTAATGTATAAATTGGATTGTGTGGTGATGTTGAGATTGAAGGAGGATGGGAAAATGTTATTTGATTAATTGCCCGATGGATGGGCTGGAGGATGGGAATAAATGACTGGATTGATTGCCTGATGGATGGGCTGGGTTGAGCGTTGGATAGTTAAATTTTAGAGGAGCTGCGCCTGAAATTTTGGTAGGAATTAGATTATTTTTTTAAAACTTTAATAGGTAGTACGACTAAAATTATTATCGTTAGAAATATTATATTATCAATCATATTATTCTTATTAATATTATTAATATTAGTATTCTTATTAGTATTATTATAAAATATTACTTAACCTTTTATTTAAAGTGATAAATTAGAATTAAAATATATAATAGTTTTAATCTTAATAAGTGGAATAATGGATGGTTAACCAAAACTAAATAAACGAATGTGAATATAATTTTCCGAATTAGAATTCTTACTTGAATTTTCTTGTTTAGTTTTAGAGGATTATAAAAATTCAAAAGCGAGGAACAAAAAGCTGGAAGCCATGTGGCTAAAAAGGCAGTCCTTTTACAAGACAATAAAGAACTGTGAGTAGTGTAGAAATAGTATTTCATCCGCTTGCATTCATGCATTCACGGCTAAATGTATTCATGCATTTTTGTTGAATTATCATACTGGTGACTGCACTATTTGTTGATATAAAAATTGTTTGATTATTTGTGTTAGTGACTATAGTGTGCTTTGTTTGTGTGGAATTGGGATGAAGTGGGTCACCATGGGTTTGAGACCGCGTTACCGTTATTATGGAATCCCGGATTTATTGATTACCGTTACCGTTATATGGATCCTGATTACCGTTAGCCGGGGTAAATGGAGATCGGCCGCCCCCGTGTGCCCCTACCAGTTACGTTAACCACAGGTTGGCTTCTTATTGGGCGCACCCGGGATAACTTAGATTTGATCGCAGCCCGCAGGGGTGGCCTCCTTGTTGTGAGCGCCTGATGATCTAGAATTCTGATGGAGACGACCGGGTTGCCTCCTGTTGGTATAAACAAAAAAATAAAAAAGAAAAGAAGAGAAGAGAATGGAAAAACAATGAGCAGGGGCTGGTCAGTTGAGATTTTAAGACCCGGTCGGCCAGAAATGGGGGATTCGCGCTCCCTGGTGCCACCACGTGAGAGGAATGGGCCATGTGGGAGGACGGCTCATCGGAGGGTTTCGGTGACCCACTGACTAATTCCACGGTGATGTGATTATGATGAGTGATTAATAATCTCGTGATTGGCTGCTTTGTATTGCCATTTGTGTGATAAACTTTCCACATGATCATATACTAAATCGGTGATCAGATAAAAATATTTTAGCATCTGTGTGATTGTGTGGGGTGAGAGGGTTATCTAACCCTACTCATTGAGTTTGATGCTCACCCCTGCCTACCTATTTTTTTTCAGGTAATAGAAGAAAGTCCAATGGAGTCGAAACATTAATTATAGAAGACTGTTAATGAGAAAATAATGATGTAAATGTACAGGTAGAGTTTCGCAATTGTATTCCAAATGGATTGTAAATAAATAAATAGAGTATAGACATTTATTATATGGATTGTACTTGGATGTATTTGAGAAATAAATTATTGGGCCTGAATCCACAATTGTGAATAGAATGCGAATTTGAAGTATTACAGGCTTACTACGGGTTTTGGGGGTCTTAAGTCTACCCAGGTCCTAGTGCCGGTCCGGTCCATGTAAGCCCACCCAGGTCCTAGTGCCGGTCCGGCCCACGGAAATGGTTCGTGACACTGTTAGTGGATAAGATAGTGTTTATTAAAACGTTAATCCATTTAACGTTTAACGTTTCCATTTTGTGATTGAAATTTTTTTGACAATTATGTCCTTAATTAACTTATATTAATATTAGTTTAAAGTTTTTCTTTCCAATGGTTGCTATGTTATTGCAAGTCTGCAATTAAATTAAAAAATTACATTATTTTACACAAAAATTTAAATAAAATAATTTAATAATGAATTAATAGAGGAATATGAGAGGAAATTGTATTATTATTTTAGAAATGATCATGATTTCAATTTATATAATTGGACTACACACAATAAATTGATATTCTTTTGACAGAAAAAATAACAACACGTTATATAAATTATTTCTTTTTTTTTATAATGAGTTTACTTCTATAGACACAAGTTAAAATTCTTAACTCAATATTTAAATGTTCTTTTTTGTTATTTTAAATTCAACAATTAATCAAACAACTATTTTTACCAAACATTTTACTTTAAATAGCTAACAGCTAACAATTTACGGCTAATATCTAACGGCTAACAGCTACTAAAACCGTTAATATTGCCGAACGGGCCCCTTGATTTTTTTTTTTTTCTTTTGAAGAAAATGTGTATTTGCTTTGATTACTTGAAGAACGGAATTTAGAATATTTCCAGTAAACTAGGAAGTATTTGTACTTTGCACACTTAATTATAATAAAATCTTATAAAATTACTAAAATTAATAATCACCAAATCACAACTTGTAATCTAATTCCCAAACTAAAAAGTCCAGTACAAGCCAAAACCCCATAGTAAAGGAATAACCCTCTTACAAAAGAATGCAATAATAAGAAGTCTGAAAGCAAAAACCACAAGCCCAAAACCACAATGAAATTCCAACTCTAACACATCTTTGAATATATAGCTTTTTATATATTTTCAACCATATCCACTCTTAACAAGACTTGGATTAATAAATCTTAAGCCTTGAGTAGTCACAGTGGCACCTAAAAACACAAGGAAATATATATATACAATGTGGGTCCCGTTTATGTATGGCACAATCCAAGATGGGGTGAATCGAGTTTTCTAAAAATTTAATTTTTAAAAATAAAAATCAGAATTTTGTTGTAGCGGAATTAGAAAATATTTGTGAGAGATACTTATCAAGTTTAGAACCACCTCACAAAGCTTGTTGTAAATATAGAAAGACTGTGAAGAACAATTATTGCATTTAGAATTGCTTCACAAAGCTTAAACAATTTTAGAATAACTCTGTGAAGAATAGTTATTGTATTTAGAATTATTTCACAAAGCTTAAGCAAGTTTAGAAAGACTATGTGAAGAACAACTATTGCGATTAGAACAACTTCACAAAGCTGAAGCAATTTTAGAAAGACTTTGTGAAGAACAACTATTGCGATTAGAACAGCTTCACAAAGCTTATTGCTATTTTAGAATTCTGTGAAAAACAGTTATTGCATTTTAGAACTGGTTCACAAATCTTTAAGTAAGATTAGAAAACTAATTATAATTCATATTGTGAATTACGTTGAATATAGAAGGACAGATTAAAACTTGGTATAATCACAATACAGAAATCCAGAGTTCTAATGTTCCACAGAAATAAAGCTTATTCACGTTTAAAATCAAAAATTCACTAACAACTTTGCATTTCTGAACAGGTTAACAGTTGTGTAAATAGAATATAATCAAGCAGAACTTCAGAAAAAAAAAAGAGAATAAACACAGAGATATATAGTGGTTCGGCACTAATTCACCTACATCCACTTTCCAAGACTATCTTGAGATCCTCCACTATGTTATTTCTTTTCAAGGGTAAGAGACAAACCAACAATATAAGAAAATAGATCAACACCTAGATCTAACATTTATCCCACAATAGAATCAAACACCTAGATCTAAACCATTTATCCCACTAGATTTTCCAAAGGTTGCTAGGCACCTCAACCGCTTTCTATCTTTTGCAGAGAATAGAAACTCAAATCAAGACATTAGAATAGACATTAGAATCTCACACAAGGAGAAGGTCGCTTGATAACCTATTACACCATAGCTTTTCACCTAAGCTATTACACAAAAGTTTTTAAAATAAAAAGCATGTCTACAACAGATTATAGAATCTATATAGACAGAGAGAAATGCAAATACAAACACAGAAAGAACGGAAAACGGATTTAGAAAACAAATTTAAAGATTACAAATGTTCTTCGAAAATGTTGTTATAAAGTTTTCTTTTCTCTAAAAAATTTTTCTTGAAGCAAAAAGACGAAAAGAAATAGGGAGTTGAAGAGAGAGCTTTGAGAGATTTAAACTTTAAACAATGGACTCATACTCTTTTGCAAAACCCATTCTTTTTAAAAGAGGAAAGGATTTTTATATGAAAAGATGATAATCTCTTTAGAAGTTAACGTTGAGATTTTTTGCTTAATGAGCAATGAAGTTTCTGACATTTTTAAACTAAGGAGGCAATGCATGGATTGCAATTAAAAAGGCTGTCAGACCACTTTTAATACTCACACACGCAAGGTTTAGAGGTGAAAGGTTTAGTTTAGAAAACAGTATAACATTTACAGCAGAAACAACCAGCTGTATTAGAAACATACAGCTGTATTAAATTAGAAATTGCTTTTTAGATCAGAAACTGCTTTTTGCAAAATTTCATTTAATAGCCACCAAGGATATTTACTCTAAAGATATTTTAGATGTAAAAACATGAAGAGTAAAGATTTTGACTATATCCTCTTAATAAATTTATTCAAAAACATTTCAAAACAATTTTGAGAGAGAGATAAAATAGATTTGTGCTTATAATATTATTTACTCTCTATCCTACAATAATTTCCTAAGACTTATTATAATACTAACCAATAGAAATATCTTCATTAATATTCATGGTCTTCAAATAAAAGTCTTGGGTTGCAGGAACTTCATTTCTTCAATAAGGAACTTCATTTCTTCAATAATTTGCATATAAAAAAATCTACATAAAATAATATTAGCATAGACAAGAATATTAAATTTATTTGTTTTGTATAATCATCAAAATCTCAAGATAAAATTGACTCTTGAGCCAACATACATACACCATCTGATAATAGATATGGGTTCGAAAACCCCTCCCCAATACTCAGAAAAAAAAAAAGAAGAAAAACTTAACTTGTTTCTTATAAAAGCATATCCACTCTAAAACACAAAACGTCGATAAAACTCGATAGAAGTTAAAACAAAAAGCAAACAACTCACCTGAATAAGAGATGCCACACGTCAAACCTTCTGAGGACTGTCGAGGAGTCCAAGAAGAGACGAGATCAAAACAGATATTCTAATGTAAAAGTGACTTAAATTCAAAAGACATAAGGATATTGAGGACCTCAAGTGACCCAGAAACGATTCCCTTGTTCATCCAGTGCACAATAGCAGTGATGCAAATCCAATTCCAAAAGATTTTAGAAGAAAAATATAAACATACAAAATAGAAATTGCAGGGATTTGTGATTGTGTATTCGTAATCCTAATATTCCTAGAGTTATTCAAACACTAAAAATAGGCCAACAAGTTATTTACTTTGTGATAAGACTTTGATATGAGAACTGTTTGTGAACAATACAATTGAGAACTAGTTTCGCTCTTTCTTTAAGGATTTATTCCTTGTTTGCCTTTGTTCTTTCTGATTCTACATCAAGCAGCAAAGGAAATTTGGAAGAAAATAACAAACACTACCAATGCATTTATGCATCTGCTGGATCCGTAAGAAAAACACAGTAGTAAGAAATGAAAACAATTCACACAAAAATTTGTAGCATTCTTTTCCAAATCTCCTCATATTGTCAATAGTACATTCGATACAAGACATTGCAATGTAAACTCACTCATTATCAATGAGATGATGATGATATAGTTCTTTGGAACTATAATCAAAGCAAACCAAAGTTGTCTATTAACTCGAAATGACCAAAGTTGTATTATGGTAATTCCATCTATTCTAGAAAAATTTCTTTCTAAAACTTCCTTTCATCTAGTAGTTAAAGCTAACGTAAATGATTTTTTATTTTGAAAGTTCCATCGCCTCAAAAACAACTTAGACTCATGCCCACATGGTTCTAGTAGTTTAACCTCTAAGGGCTTTTCATCTAGAGTTCTTCTATCATCCACGGTAAGAAAGTTGTAATCTTTTATTTGCTTTCAAGGAATTGTTAAACAATCATGATGAGCACTTGTATCGGTCTTAAATATTTGTTTCATTATCACTAACTTAATTTCAGTATCTCCTTTTCTCATAATTTCCCTCTTCCATTCATCTAGAAGATCTGGTGGGGCTCTAACCCCAGTTCTTTTAAATACTCTCTTGGTCTTAGTCGACTCTTTTGGCTTTTCAAGTCTCTTGCTTTCCCTTTCTTCTTCTTTTGCACAATCTTCAATTTCAAAACTCTGTTTTTGTTTCCACTAATTGACGGTTATTTTTCTTCTTCCTTTTCGTAAGTTTCACCATGAATGTGTCTTTTCCATTACTGTCTCTCCTTCTTTTAGTTACATAAGCACCTAAACGATCACCTCCCTCCATAGATTTATTAATAGCCTCCTCTTCAAATCCACGCACAAAATTTCTAAGAATTTTATGTTGAAGCAACTCTAGTACTTTGGATTAATCCTTTTCTTTTTTCTAATTTATGCTAGAAGTTTTTCAAAAGACCCATCATCATCGGTATTCATAATTCTCACCATCTTTCCCCTTTCTTGAATAAAAGCAGCAGATTAGTGAAAAAACAAAAAGTATTACTGATATTTATATATAATAAGTAGAAATCCTAATTCTAACCTGAATAGAATAAAGGGATTGTATACTAATATAAATTAGAAATCATAATTATAAACTGATTAGAAGAAAGTTCCTACGGACATGCATTTATCTATTTAACTTTTTGTCCTTATTTTTGCTACATCAAAAGCAAGTATTCAGAATTTAAAAATTTAGAAGACATCTCACCTCTCAGGTTCGCTATTTATTTCTTCGTCTTCGAGTTTATTCTCTTTTGTCTCAAAACTCTGCTTTTTATTTCCTAATTTGATACAAAGTCGTTTTTTTAATAATCATGGCAACAGACGATTCTCCTCTGTTTTCAAATTCTGAAAATCTTGTATTGCCGGTATCTAAAGCAATATTTTGCAGACTTATTAGCTTGATTAATATGATTTTCTGCTTCATTATCTTTTGAGTTCCCTTTGTGAATCGCTTAATACTTATTTGGTTGAGATTATAGTTTGATTGACAGAGGTTATGCATGGCTGAAATTGAAATTAGGGTTTTGACATTTTTATGTTGCAGAGAACGGGTTTTAAATCAGATGATATAGGGGACACGGAGAAGATGAAGGAACCATGGTTTTTCTTTGCCAGTTCTTATATCTCTTTTCTTTAGTCTATCTTTTGTATATCGATGCAAGCTATTACATGATAAGTCTGGTAATTTAGAAAGGTTTTGTGAATGAAAAAGGGCAGCTTGTTTATTTGATAGTTTAAGGGGAAAAAAATAATAAATAATAGATATTCATTCTTATAATTAATTATCCATCTTTAATTAATTAAGACTTAATAATTAGCTTATGATTGTGTTTATATAATTTTTAGCTTGCAGTGTTTAGCTTCTGGCGCTGGAACAAAATGTTCTCATTTACAGTGCAGACTGCAGAGGTTCTAATCTTTTCATAGGCCAAACATATTATTAATCATACTGCTGCTGCTTGCAATGTCAGTGCGTAGCAAAATTTTCAAAAGGTAATTAATAAATTAATTAAGCCAATAATATTTATTTATTTCCATAATAGTATAATTTAGCTGTGACATTTTCTTCGAATAACAGTTGTAAATTACGTGCGAAAAATGTATTAATTTTATATGCGTGTTCATTCGTAATTATGTTAATGTGGTTCTTATAGTTTTATTTGTTTTATTGATGAGAAAGTTGCCTGCTATGAACCTATTTTTCCTCATTTTTTATTATTCTATTTATCTTTATATTATATATATTCTAGTACTCGCTTTTTTTTTTAAATATGATTGACCGGTTCTTTGTATTATAAATTATTGAGAAAAAAGATAAATACATTAAATGATGTTTATTTAATATTTTACAGTAAAAATTATAATATGTATGTAAACAAAATGAATGAATATTTTAAAAAATTAATGAAATAAAATGCAAAAATAAAACTTCACCATTGAAATGAGGTGAAAAAATAAAAATAATCTAACTCAAGCAAAATGTACATCTAAAATTAAGAAGTAAAACGATAAGTAGAAAAGTCTTTGACTTAAAATAATAATAACCTGCACCTGCAGCCAAAGAAAAATATTTGGGAATGTGATTGTGTCATGTGAATTGTTTGCGTCCTTAATAAGCAAATAGCCAACTGTTAGTGTTAATAAGCAAACAGCCATAAGACATTACAGAATCCCACCAAAAGATTAAAAAGAGAGAGAGAGAGAGAGAGAGAGAGAGACTCGCCGCACAGTCATATCAATGAACCCCTAGCAACATCAATAATTTCAATTCATATACCCATCCTACTAGATACAAACAGCCAGCAGTGAAATACAAAAAACAAAACAGAGTCGAGAAAACCCCATTTTCTGATACAAGGACTCACAATCCATACACGAGCATGTCAATCTAATTTGACCCTTTTAAACAACATTACATAATCACTCACTGACAGCAAAATACAAACTTCAGACATAGTGAAAAGGACTTTTAAGCAACCTCACTCAGGGATCTCCTCGTCTTCCTCCTCGTATTCCTCGTCGTCAGCTGTTGCATCTTGATACTGCTGGTACTCAGCCACCAGATCATTCATGTTACTCTCAGCCTCAGTAAATTCCATTTCATCCATACCCTCACCGGTGTACCAGTGCAAGAAAGCCTTGCGCCTGAACATAGCCGTGAATTGCTCACTAACGCGCCTGAACATCTCCTGGATAGAAGTCGAATTTCCTATGAAAGTTGATGCCATCTTTAGACCTTTAGGTGGGATGTCACAGACACTGGACTTAACATTGTTGGGGATCCACTCAACAAAGTATGAAGAGTTCTTGTTCTGGACATTTATCATTTGCTCATCGACCTCTTTAGTGCTCATTTTACCTCGGAACATAGCTGAAGCAGTTAGATAGCGACCATGTCGTGGATCAGCAGCACACATCATGTTTTTGGCGTCCCACATCTGCTGGGTCAGCTCAGGCACAGTCAGAGCCCGGTACTGCTGTGATCCTCTTGAAGTCAAGGGTGCAAACCCAACCATGAAGAAATGAAGGCGAGGGAATGGGATAAGGTTAACTGCAAGCTTCCGAAGATCAGAGTTCAACTGTCCAGGGAAACGAAGGCAACAGGTAACACCACTCATGGTAGCAGATATGAGATGGTTAAGATCACCAACTGGAACATGGCAAAACAAAACATACGGCACAATGGTCAGATTGTGTCTTTTCCAAAATTATACATCATATATGCAAGCACTTCATGTTAATATTTCTATAGGTGCAATTTATAATGATATGAGAAAGATATTTGCTATATTTACATATTTAATTAACAGAACCTCCAGAATTCATGTCTCATGTTTATACTATTAATGGGACCATAAAGGAATTGGTCGTTGTCAAGATGTGTAAACTTATGTTTCTCCAGAAATGTGCATGTGTATCCGCATGTGCATGTGCATGTATGTAGATAGAGAGGGACCAAACCATGTGAAGGTAAACCATCAATAAGTAAAGTGTATAGTAAGCAACACATCCACTTTTAACCACCAATGAGAAAGACAAATCACCTACCAAATTGGACCCTACATCTCATCAATCTTTGCATGCAAGATATGAAACAGGTAGGTAACCGTTTTATCCCACTTTTATAAATTTTCATTTTCAATCTTCATGGGGGAATACGGATTTTTGGATCATCATGCATTAAACAGAATTAACTGAATAAGTTCTGAACACAAATAATAAAGCATTTTTATGTAACTTACAAGTTGGAGTAGCAAGCTTGAGAGTACGAAAGCAGATATCATATAAAGCCTCATTGTCCAAAACCATACATTCATCAGCATTTTCCACAAGCTGATGAACAGAAAGAGTCGCATTATATGGCTCCACAACTGTGTCAGAGACCTTAGGAGAAGGAAAGACGGAAAATGTCAACATCATTCGATCAGGATACTCCTCCCTGATCTTGGAAATAAGAAGAGTTCCCATACCAGAACCAGTGCCTCCACCCAACGAATGACAAACTTGAAATCCTGTTCAGAAATATAATAAGTGATACTTGAAACCGATAAGAAAAGAAAAGGTCTAAATCTATAGTATTATATGGCTGATATAGAATTTCAGAGCCATAATATACTGCAAAACGATTGGTTAGGTGAGAACACCATTGGTAGCACCAGAGACCAATGATGGTCCAATTATATAACCAAGAAAATCAAACTGAAATACGCAATAAAATTGCGAGGAAAACATTGGCCATAAAAAGATGAAGAAATATAGTTTAAGCCATAACAGATTATTCTGGATACTTGAACAAGCACAAGAAAATATTTTCCTGCATACAATCCGCAATGAAAAAACCAAGATTCAAGTTTCAAGTAAGGAAAACTCAATACATAAGTTACTATGTACAACTTAAAAGTTTATCACCAAACCTCTCAATCACACAGAATCTCTCAAGATGTAGCGCCACAAAGGGCAACTTAGCAAAGTATTCATCCCAATGAATGTAATAACTGACCCAATTTCTTTAAGGCCCTGTTTGGATAAATGATTTCAGAAGCTCTCCTGGAATATCATTTATAAACTTATTCTATATTTCAAGGTCATTTATACCAAATAAGGGGTAAATGAAAATCTATAAATATTTATCAAAATGAATCAAAATAAAACCAAATTCAGTACATGGAAAAAAATCAAGAAGCAAATGTAAACTATTCGGCCAGAAGGAGCTACACCATAGACTAAATTCATCAATATATAGGCCAAATAGGGAAAACAAACAAAAAGAATCAAACCCTTATAACATTTGCAAAAAGCTAACCAATGCCCGTACAGGGAAAAAAAAAAGCATTTCTCAAGAACAAACCTCAGTCAATGCAAGATCAAATCAATAACAAAACGGAACATACTAACTCACACCAAAGCATTAGGATCTAACAAAAAGAACTAAACCCAATGAAATGCTAAATAAAATGATTCATTACCCTGCAAGCAATCACAATTCTCAGCCTCTTTCCTGACAACATCAAGCACAGAATCGATCAACTCAGCTCCTTCAGTGTAATGACCTTTAGCCCAGTTATTCCCTGCTCCAGACTGGCCAAAAACGAAGTTATCAGGTCTAAAGATCTGCCCAAAGGGACCAGATCTAACGGAATCCATAGTACCCGGCTCCAGATCCATAAGTACAGCACGAGGCACATATCTACCACCACTGGCCTCGTTGTAATAGACATTGATACGCTCAAGCTGGAGCTCAGAATCGCCACTGTACCTTCCGGTGTGGTCAATACCGTGCTCATCACAGATCACTTCCCAGAATTTAGCTCCGATCTGATTTCCGCATTGGCCGCCCTGAATGTGGAGAATTTCTCTCATTCTTTTCTTGGGAAGTGTGGTGTAATTTTCTCGGGAAAGTGAGGAAAACTCTTGACTGGAGGAATCTGATCTACAGAATGGGAGAGAAATGGACGAATCTGAAGATAAAAGTTGGGGATGGACGCTATATAAAGGTAGAGTTTTTTTATTTTTTATTTTTGGATTTCCGGTTTCTGATTGGTTGGTTTCATATTTTATTTGGTTTTTTTTATTTTATTAAATAAAAACACCTAAGTGAGTTCTTCTTTTTTTATTTATTTATAAATTTAGTGCAACCAAATCAACGTCTGAATTTCATTCGTTACATCAATTTAATTTTTTAAATTTAGATGAAATTTCGCGCTGTGAATTCAAAATGATTGTCTATTTGAATTTTTTAGAAATTTAATAAATATTTCATAAAAGCATAAATATTTCATATTAATTTTGAAATAATGTCAATTAAATATTTAAAGTATATATCATAAAAAATACAACAAGTTTCTTTTCTTTTTTTTATTATTATTTTTCAGACGGGTGAGTTGTAAGAGGGTTCTGGAACGGACCCACCTGTGTTTGGGTTCATGGAACCAATATTCTAAAATCCAATGTCACTGCGAGCAATAAAATATTACTATTTTTTTTTTTTTTACATATTAATATATAGATTTAGATTTTGTGACATATAAAGACGATAATTTTCGTTAAATTGTTGGAGTGTACCATTAGTAGTTTGAAAGAATTTCTAAAATAAATTATAAATAATGGTTTGTAAATTTTTCAAATTCAATTAAAGGCGTGTTCAGCAAGTACATTTAGAGTAGTTTTTTCAGAGGTTCAGGTCTTGGAGTGTTTTCTAAAATTTTGTATCGTCTAATGTTTAGCGTTTCACTCTTTTTATTGAAATATTTTTTTTACAACCTTATCATTATCCTTAATTATATAAAATATTTTTGTGTTTCGCTTGTTTATATAGTAAAAGAAAAAAAAAATTGGTCTATTTATATATTGTATTTAAACTCAAACAAATATTAAAAATTAAAAATTAAAAAGTCGATCCATAAAATATTAAAAATTTTCAATTAAAATACTAAACTTTTCAATTTTTGCTCCCTTAAATTTTGAAAATTTAGGTTTAGTGAAATCATCTTTTTTTTTTATAATGAATTTAATTAAAAATTCTAGGTGAATATTTTAATGTCCTTTTTTGCCATTTTAAATTTATTGCCAATTAAATCACTGTTTTTTTAATCAAAACTTTCTCTTTCAATCACTATTTCAACAGCTAACCACTAACATATACCACTACTAAAATAGCTAACAGCTACTATGATATGATGTAATGCTCTACGTTTTGTCAATTGCATAAAGAGTTGGTAGAGTTAAAGAAACGGTGCGTAGCAAAGAAAAATGGTTGATAAGAAGACAGATCATTAGCCGGCTGTTAGTTTGTTAAAATAGTTGTCAATTTGTTAGAGGCAATTTTCATTATATTAAATAATTAGTTAGCTCATTAATTGTTGATAAAAAGGAGATTTGTTCAGCTGTACAGGTAATTGGATTCATTTTATCATCTAATACAATCTATTCCCAGTTTTCTCTCATTATTCTCTCCTTCTTGTTTCTCTTCTCTATTCTTATTACTCTTCTATTCTTCTGCCCTATTCCTGCTCATGAATTAAAATCCACTTATCAATTGGTATCAGAGCCAACGGTCTCCGACTATGAGTGATGGAACCACTACTAAATCTCAAGAGGCCATAAGGAAAGAAATGGCACTCTTGATTACAGAAGCCGAGCGTAGGCAAGAAGCTAAGCTACAGGACATGGTCAAAGAATTAAAGAATTTAATTGCTTGTCTTAGTCACCAACACATTGAGGTTATGGGCAATAGAACCAGACAAGGTATTTCTCAAAACACTGGTAACACTACTGCGATGCTATGCACAATCAATGGGGAAACAATACTAGATTGGATTTTCCAAAGTTCAATGGAGGAGGTTTAGAAGGTTGGTTGATGAGATGTAATTACTATTTTGATGTGGGAAGAATTGCTCCAAGAAATAAAGTTAAAATTGAAGCTTTAAACTTAGAGGGCAAAGCAATTCAATGGCACCAAGGGTTTGTTAGGGTGAGGGGAGAGAGGGCTTATGAAGACTGGAATGAGTACATGAGATATTTGCCTGCTAGGTTTGGCAATAATGCATTTGATGATCCATTGGCTGAATTGAGAAATTTAAGGCACAATGATTCTTTACAAGAGTATTTAGATGCATTTGATGAGCTATACCCAAAAGCTAGTATATTTGAAGATCAAGCTTTGAGTTTTTTTCCTATCAGGTTTAAAAGATGAACTTCAGATGCTAATTAGGATGTTCAAGCCCCAAACATTTGCTGAAGCATATTCCTTAGCAAGGCTCCAAGAACTCACCGTAGCTGCAATTCAACAAAAGCCAAAACTAGTTAGAACCCCTTTAGTAAATATTACTCACAACACTAATTCTTCCAACTATGACATGAGCCACAACAACCAAAATCACAGTAATTCCTTTAAAACCATTTCATAGAACTAGAACCTAGACACTTATTCAAGACCAAACTTCGCTCAAAAAAACCAAAAAGGCTTATTACCTGCACCAAACAGGCTTAGATTGGACCAAAACACAAAATTCCCATCAACCTTAAATAGTAAAGAGATGGATGAGAAAAGAGCTAAGAATCCTTGCTTTTGGTGTGATGAGAAATATTCAACAGGTCATAGGTGTAAGAAGAAATAGTTGTATGTCTTGCAATTAAAAGAAGTTATTAGTGAAGAAGACAATGAGTTTATGGACTGTTTAGAGGAAAATGAAGATCTTTTACAAGGAAGTGAGATGGAAAAAGGCCAATTGTCATTAAATGTAATGTGGGGTACAGGGAGTAATCAGACCATGATGTTGAAAGGTTTAAGTGGCAAGAAGAGATTGCATATCCTCATTAATACTGAAAGTACTCATGACATCCTCAATGAGAAGGTGGTCCAAAAATTACATTGTCATGTCACTAAAATATCAGGCTTATGGGTGGAAGTGGCTAATGGCCAAGAGTTAAAATGTGAGACCATGTGCAAGGCCTTTCAATGGAGTATGCGGCATCAAGAGTTTACTGCTAATGTCTATGCACTACCATTAGAAGGATATGAATTATTCCTGGAAATTCAGTGGTTGAAAACATTTGGGAATGTAAACTGGAACTTTGTTAATCTGATTATGAAATTTCAATTCAATGGCAAAGAATATTTCTTAGAAGGTAAGCAATTTCCCAATACAGCTCAGTCACTTACCGTACTTACAGTTAAGTAAAAACCTAAGTTTTTCTCTCCACAGTTGAATTCTTTATATCGTACTTATAGTTAAGCAAAAACCTGAGTTTTTCTCTTCACAATTAAATTCTTTATCTGCATAGACTTCTATACCTATAAAATGGGGTGAATTAAATGCATTACTTAAGCAATTTGAAGATATATTCCAAGAACCAAAAGGCTTACCACCTAAAAGGGCACATGACCACAAAAAACTTCTTAAATCTGGTTCTCAACCAGTAAATGTCAGGCCTTATAGATATGCATTAGAACCAAAGACTGCAATTGAAGAGATGGTAAAGGAGATCTTAACTAATGGTGTCATTAGAAATAGTGAAAGCCCTTATGCAAGCTCTATAGTCCTTGTTAAGAAAAAGGAAAATACTTGGAGGATGTGTATAGATTATAGGGTTCTCAATAACATCACTATGAAGGACAAATTTCATATTCCCCTAATTGATGAGCTTTTGGAGGAATTGGATGGGGCAATGGTATTTTCTAAGATAGATTTAAGGTCGGGTTATTGGCAAGTCAGAATGCATGAAGGGGATATTTGTAAAATTGTTTTTAAGACACATGAAGGGCACTATGAGTTCTTGGTTATGCCCTTTGGCTTAACCAATGCTCCAGCCACCTTCCAGTCCTTGATGAACTCAATTTTTGAACCATTTTTAAGGAAATTTGTATTGGTTTTCTTTGATGATATTTTGGTGTATAGTAAAAGCAAGCAAAGTCATCTCCAAGAACTTCAGTTAGTTTTACAAACTATGAGACAACACTAGTTATATGCAAAACTTAGCAAATATCAATTTGGGGTGCAACAAGTGGAGTACTTGGGGCATATCATAATAGTAGATGGTGTCCACACAGATCCAGAGAAAGTTATGGCAGTCCAAAATTGGCCTATCCCTCAAAATGTAAAGCAATTAAGGAGCTTTCTAAGCCTTATGGGTTACTATAGGAGGTTTGTTAAGAATTATGGTAAGTTGGCTAAACAATTAACTGAACTTTTGAAATTGGGGACTTTTCAATGGAATTCATCTGCAGCAAATGCATTTCACACATTAAAGGAGGTTATGGTGCAAGCTCCAATACTAGCTCTTCCTGATTCTTCTAAGACCTTTGTAGTGAAGACAAATGCTTCAGGGGAAGGATTGGGAGCTGTACTTATACAAGATGGACATCCATTAGCATATGTTAGTAAGGCTCTTTCTCAGAAAAATCAAGCTTTGTCCACCTATGAGAAAGAACTACTAGCTATATTGATTACCATTAAACATTGGAATCATTACTTACTTCCAAGGCATTTTATAATCAAGACTAATCACAAGAGTCTAAAGTACCTTCTGGAGCAAAAAATTGTTACCCCGACCAAACAGACTTGGCTAATTAAGCTTCAATCTTACAATTCTGAAATTCAATACAAGAAAGGTCAAGAGAATCATGTTGTAGATGCACTTTCTAGATTACCTTTCATCAGTGTGTTAGCATTAACTGCTCATACTCTTCCTAATGATTTGTATCTAGTAATTCAAGACAGTTGGGGAACAGATTCAATGCTACAAAAGCTTATTATAGAGCTACAACGGGATCCTAATTCTCATCCCAAGTATTAGTGGCAACAAGATACATTAAGAAGAAACGGGAAGTTAGTGACTGGAAATGACAATGACTTGAAATTGCGACTTTTGAATCTTTACCATGACTCAGCAATAGGGGGTCATTCAGGGGTTTCTGTCACATGTAAAAGTCTATCTTCAATGGTCTATTGGAGGGGGTTATGGAGATTTGTG